CATGGGAGATTTTTCTGGATCGGAGGGCTGGAATTTGGGGTAGAAATCAACCCCTCATGCTCACCTTTGAGGTGAGGGTTTAGGGGGTTCCACGGGATATATAAAAGGTTGGAAAAAGAAACGCAGCAGGGGATAGCGAGGGTTTGGTGAGGGAGAGCAAGGACCAGAAAACAAGTCGACTGCTGTAGAAAGAAACAAAAGGCTACGAGGGTTCTGGGGAGGTAGCAAGAAACAGAAAGCTGGGGAAGGCTGGGAGTGGAAAAAGAGAAAAAGGGGGAAAAGGAGAGGTTGTGAGGGCGAAAAAGGAGTGAAGGATAGAGAGAGCAAGAAGGATTTTCGGCTGGAAGCTGCAGGAAGGGATCGACTGAACCTTCATCCATCATCGTTTGACATTCCTTCGAGCATCTGAAAGAATCATTCGAGCCTTTTCTGAAAGAACCATCCCATGTTCCGATCCTTGATCAAGGTATTGTTGCAAGCTGCTTTCTTTAATTGCTTGTTTGCATTCCTTTGTTGTCTACTGGTTCTGTTTCGGTCAATATGACTGATAGTTCTTATTTGGGTAATGAAAATCTGGAGTTTGGGTAATAAGGCGGCATCTTGCATGATTTTGTCTTAGCCGAGAGAAGATTGCAGAAAGTTTACAGCTTTGGCTGTTCTATGCTTTCATCATGTATAGATCTAAAGTTGGTTTTTGAAAGACAGAAATCCAGGATTTTCTTTAGGGATTGGTTACTTTCATTCTGCCGTCTTTCAAATCAGAATAATGTTTGGCATGTGTGTCATAAGTTACCGAAGTTCGCAGCTCCTGTATGGTGGGGTCTTAGCTGAAAGGAAATTGCTGAAAGTTTCCAATTTTGATTGATTTCTATTCAGGCATGTACAGATCTGGGGTTGGGCTTTGTTTAGTGCTGGCTTTGTGGGGGCTAGAGGTTCAGGTTTTTCCTTTTAAAAAGAAAAAAGCTAGTGTCATGATTTGTTGTTTGAGTTTGTGGCTGCTGTTTGTATGATGAATGAAAGTAAAAATCAGAGAATAGCTTGCAACTCCAACAAGTTGAATGTCTGACACTTCATTCGTTGATTGTCACCTTTCTCTGGGGTTTGTATGTCCGTAGTAATGCATGTGAGTTGCATGTTTTTGCTGGGTTGGGGACGGATGCAACATATTTGCATGTGGGCAACGGGTTTGACATCCATGGAGAGTTTTTGAACAAACTTAGCAGGTTGCAAGTTCATCCGCGCGTTTCCCATTGCTGTTTTTCTTTCCTGTAACAACCCAGTCCACCAAGAGGGTCTCATCACCTACTTGATGAGATAAATTGGATAAGAGGTGTTGGGTTTGCATGTTTGGGGGCTGAAACACTTGAATCATGTTTGAAAGCTTGCTGGAAAAATAGACAATCAGGTTATCGAACAATCAGGTCTCATTCCCGTACCCGACTTGATGCATTCCTCTAGGTTCATACACTTTCATTTTTATCATATCACTTCCTCACTTTTTTCATCCACATTCTCTCACTACTTATATTTTTTCTCAATCCACATGCCATGTTCACACATTTCTCTTCTTTCCCTATCACTTATTTATTTTCTACCTCACAAATTGCACCCAGTTGCACTTATATGCATTTACTACTATTATACCATATTTTCATCCACTTGCACACAAACACCTTTATTTTCTCAATTGGCACACATGCACTTTTCTTACATTTGCACACATGCACTTTTCTTACATTTGCACACATGCACTTTTCTTACATTTGCACACATGCACTTTTCTTACATTTTCACACTTGCACTTACATTTGTATTTGTATTTGTATTTTTTATTTTATTTTGCATCCTTCTTACATTTTCACACTTGCACTCATATTTGGGTTTTCATTTGCATTACCCGTGACCTTTATGAGAGTTTTCCTTACTGGCCGTCACAACTCATGTGATTGGGACCAAAAACCCTCATAAGAGACATTTTAGATTTAGGATTGCATTTTTCTTTTTTCGCATCCATTAGTCATATCCAACATGCAACTCATACTTTGGGTAGAAGAATTAGGAAAAGAAGGGCTAAGTCACGCAACTAGCTTTGGCTAGGGTAAGGGAGTGCCTTAGGCTTTGCCTTTGCCTTCTCCCTTATCAAATGTGACCCCCGATCCCTTTCTTTGGTTACGTAGAGCTAAAAATTCTTTAAAAAGGGTTTGTTTACTTTTCTTTTCCAAAAAAATCACTTCTTGGATGACTTGGTACACCCTAACTCTATACCGAGTGGCGACTCCTTTTCTATCTAAAACCCTTTGTGTGGCCAAACCGTCGCATTTCACAATCCCACGCCCTTTTATTTTCACTTTCACACACGTTCACATACATATCCTACACACTACTTTCACACCATCAAAAAGTGGGGCGCGACAGCTTGGCGACTCCACTGGGGAGCTCCTAAGTGGGTCCAAGCATTTGATTTAGCTATTCTTTTCCGTTTTCTACCCTTGTTATGCGTAGCATTTGGATATTAGGGTTGCATTTTCCATTTTAGGACCTTTTGCCTCGCACGCGTATCAAACTACTCCCTCACTCACGTATGTATGATTGGTTGCTTGGATGTATGTTTTACTTGTTTTATATCGCGCTTTGCATTGCATTTGGGGGGGGTGTGTCACCTTTAGAGCCTCGCGTTGGGTCTCAACCCTTTCCCTCAAAATAGGGAACACTTCATACGTGCACGTTTATTTACTGTTATCCCATTTTATTTTATTTTCGTGGGTTCTTTCCCACACCGCCTTGTAGGACTAGGAATGGTTTCTCTAGGTATGTGGATGGTGTGCTCTGCGCCCATAGCAGTACCTAGGGGATCGCTCGAGCCACCGACCGAGGGTCTTGGGATTGATGACCCATTCCCTTAGGTCTGAAGGCTTGGGGACCTTTTTAAACCTTATCGAGTCTAGTTGTATTAGTGAGCCCCCAGCCTCATGCATCCATGTTAGAGTTCCTAGGTTAGAGTCAGCCTCACCCTTTTTAAGCACATTAGGCACGAGGAAAGGGGTTCCACCCCTTTTACATGCTTTTATTGTATTTCTTTTCTTAATTGCTCCCAATATGTTACGTGTACTATCAATTGCACTAACCATTTCATTGTTTTCTTGGCTTGCATTCATGTGCCTTAGCAATAAGAGGCCTTTTTGGCTCTCTTTTAGTGACTTACCCACTAGATAATTCACATGTTTAAATTTCAGTTATTACACTTAATTTTTAATAAGTACATTTCATTTTTAAACCTTTTCCCCCCGATGCATTATTTATGTCCTTTAGGCCATATTTGTCACATATTTACATCGCTTTAATAAATGGCATCATGCATCCACCCTAGAAAGGGAATGCCATTTAGGGGATCCCGTGTTAGGAATAAAACCACCTTATGTCTCGGATACTTAATCCAAGGAGACTTGCACGTTTATATTTTGTACCATCCAAAGGGGTAGTGCACAAGGTAAGGTAGGATCCGATCTTTTCGAAAATGGCAAAGCAATTTTTGCACATTGGAATATGAGCGTCTAACAATCATCTTTTGGCCATTTTATCATAGTTGGTAAAAATCCCTTGCTTAAAGGATATTGACTTAAAGAAATTCACAAATGATTCCTCATTCTTGAGACGATAAATGTATTGAGGCCAAATTTTGATTTTTAGGAGGCTCATATCACTAATGCATCACAATGAATTTTTGAAAATTACCAATGGGTGGACAATTCAACCCATTTTTGAATAAATCATCAATTTCAATCAATTAATTTAACTAATTCACCCTTTTTGGGTGATCTGGTCGATTGTTGAATAAATCGTCAATTTCATTCAATTCATTTGACCAATTTACCCTTTTTGGGCGATCTGGTCGATTTTTGAATAAATCATCAATTCCAATCAATTCATTTGACCAATTCACCCTTTTTGGGTGATCTGGTCGATTTTTGAATAAATCGTCAATTTCATTCAATTCATTTGACCAATTTACCCTTTTTGGGCGATCTGGTCGATTTTTGAATAAATCATCAATTCCAATCAATTCATTTGACCAATTTATCCTTTTTGGGTGATCTGGTCGATTTTGAAGAGATCATCAATTCCATTTCATTCATTTGGCCAATTTACCCATTTTTAGGGCAATCGAGTCGATTTTGAAGAGATCATCAATTTCGTCCTATCCATTTGACCAATTTGCCTAGTTTTAGGGCAATTCGGTCGATTTTGAATAAATCATCATTTCAGTCGATTTGTTTGATCAATTGATTTCATTCAATTCATTTGATTAGTTTAATTTATTTTTAGGGTTATCCATTCAATTTTGAATAAATAATCAAATTTCATTCAATGCACTTGACCATTTTACCCTTTTTAAGGTGTTCCGGTTCATTTTGAATAAATCATCCAACCCAGTCGACTAATTAGGGTTTTAATGTCAAATTTCAAATTGAAAAACCTAGTTGTTTTTTTTTTTAAAAAAAAAATCACCCATTGTATTTATTTGATTTGGATGAACTAGGGTTTTGACCCGTGTAAAAAAAAAAAGGTCCAATATCAAGTTGTCAAAATTAAATTGATTTGTACGAATTCCTGTGCCAACCAAAACCATTCCTTCATTTAAAGGTTTCCTGCTGTTCAATTGGCCCAAAATTTTCAAATTGCTTTCCAACCAACTGTCAATGAGTTGATCGGATTCATCAGGTATGGTATAGTGCCTACCTCAGAGGATTGCATTCTCATGCTAGGCCTACCCTTGGCACTAAAAGGGTCCCCCAATAGGACATGCATCCGAATTACTTTAATTTTTACTAACTCCTATCTTTTTCTTTTCCTTTTTTCTTTCTTTTTGACAACAGTCAATCAAGAAGGGCATCTAATAAGGGGTTTTCTTACACTCTCAGGTAGTAATCACAAATATTGCTACACAAAGAAGCCCCATTATTACCCGATCACATAGCCGAATTTCAAGAGAAAGTGTAAACATGAGTACCCATCCAGAACCATCTGATAGGCCCGTAATAACATCATCAACTGATTTGGCAAATCTGGGAGTTCAGCTGAACGAAGTTCTCAACCGATTTAATGAGCTAAGCGTTGAAATGATGGCCCAACGGCGCGTGATTGACCAATTGGTCACAAGTGGTGCTAGCGGTGAGCAACAACATGAGCCCTTACCCCCTGGCCAATCTGAACCTCAACCAATACTCTTACCTTATACTCAAGCTCCTGTTACTTCACATGTCATAAATCCACCTGAAGAGGCCTTTACCTATCCCACTCATGGCCCACCACTTACTTATGCACCTAACATCCAAATTAACCCTTCTCATGCCCAAATTCCCCAGAATTATCCGCCAATTGCTATGACCATACCATTCGAACCTCAGGGACCCCATTATTACTCTGCCGCTGAGCCATTTACCCTAGATACCGCCGCCCAAGGAAAAGCTGAAGTTGGGGAATCATCCGCACCAGTGGATAAGAACTTGCTAAAGAGATTGGATCGGTTTGAAGAGTTCATAAAGAAAAACCAAGGTTTGAACAAGCAAGGAGGTTTGGACTACAACGAGCTGTGCCTGTTTTCGAATATGCAATTGCCAGCGGGTTTCAAAGTACCCAAATTTAGCAAGTACGATGGAACGGGGAATCCCAAGACTCACCTTCGGATGTTTGCAAACAAGCTAGGGAAGCCGATAGATGATGAGAATCTACCTATGCACTTATTTTCCGAGAGTCTAGAAGGCGACGCGTTGGATTGGTATTCCAATCTAAAGCCTGAGGATATGAGATCTTGGATGGATTTGTCAACCACTTTTATGAGGCAGTATGAATACAATTGTGAGCTCGCTCCAGCGAGGACCACATTGGAAGGGACTAAGAGGAAACCATCGGAGGACCATAAGACATATGCGAAGAGATGGAGGAAATTGGCCACCAAGGTAGAGCCTCCTATGACTGAAAACGAGATTGTTCGCACGTTCATCAAAGCTCATCAAAGCTCAAGCCCGATATAGAACTTTTACCAATCTAGGTCGGCCCCTTGATCAACTATATGAGCAGCTCAAGGCCGCGGGAAAAATTGGTACAATACCTCCTAAAGTCTATACTAAAGGAGTTCCCCCTGGTTATGATCCTCAATCTTTTTGTGCCTATCATTTTGGAGCTCCTGGACATTCTACTGCCAATTGTTGGGTACTTAAACATAAAATTCAAGACATGATTGAGGCCGGAGACATAATTTTTGAGAAGGAGAAATGAACAGTGACCAGGTGTCAGCGAAAACCCTTTCCCTGCGCACAAGGATACTATAGCGGCCATTATCACTGAAGAGGAGTTTGAGCAGCCTACCAAATACATTGTGGTGGAGAATGAAGTAATCAAAATAGTCCAGAAGCCTTTTGTGCTTGACATAGCCATCTAAAACTGGATTGCAAATCACATTCCCTCCCGAAGGGAATTTTGGTAAATCTAGGGGATTGCCTTTGATTATGAATTATGGGAGAAATCATTTGCATTGTTCATCTTTTGCATTTTCATTTTGTAAATAATTTTAACTCAAATGTCTTTTCAATACAAATCTTATGTTAAAGAGCGTGTCTTTCAATAGCGTATTATGACGTGTTGTCCTTCCTTTGAAATTTAAAATATACAATTATATATACTGTATTACTTACCCATTCTTTTCAGATGGCCAAGAATAAAATCCTCTGACCATTTGGATATCACTGTTCCGAAATTTGATATTTCACGAATGTGAATTTGGATTTCAAAATGAGGGGAATAGCGAAGAGACATCAGAGAATGTTTTCAAAGGAACACAAATGGTATAAAGAGAAACGCAATCTGAAATGGGATCACGATTTCAGTGGTCACTTGATAAGAAGCATCGGAATGCCATTTGTCATTGTCACTGCTGTCAAAAGAGAATGGCCCAAAGAAATAAAACATTGAGGTAGCTTTTGTCGATAAAGCCAAAAGAAGAGTTCACCGCGAATGGGCAAGGTTATTTTATTATCAAGAAGGTGTTGCATGGCAGAGTACTAGTTTTCGCAGAAGTGGAGTTGACAAATTTTCCCTCAACCGATCAATTCGGATATGTGTGTAAGAAATTCTTCATCTGATAAATGAAAGTTTCCATTCAAGGGTTAATGCAAAGAATGGAATGAAAGTCAGGCCTTCTTCCTTTCCCATTGAGACATTTTATCCTTAGTCATCCCTTTTGAGCCTTCAGAATAAATTACTTCATTTGGCAACCCCTGAGGATCGCAAACCCCACACTGGGGCAAATGTAGTTTTGAAAAAGAAAAGAAGAACCCTATACTGGGGCAAATTCAATATTCTAAAGAAAGCCGAAAGAAAAGGAAATGAATAAAAGAAAACCTCAGTTAAAAATAAACTGGGGCAAATTGTGAATATTTCAAAAGATGAATGGAATGACAGAAGAAAGGAAGGAAAATGAAAGGACAAAGAGTCTTAGTTGAAAATAGACTGGGGCAAGTTTTGGTTTAGCCCTAAAATAGGGATGGTACAATAATGCGATCTCAGGACATTTAAACCACTTTCAGAAATCTGCCTTCAAGCCTTAACCTTTTCTTAACACCTTACCAGACCCCATTACAAAAACCAAAAGTCCTGGCTTCCGTTCTTGGCATCACCTCTTTTAAGCAAATTTTCTAAATCACATGGCAAATGATGTCAATATGCCTTCACTCATTTTGTAAGGGAAGGGGTTGTCGCACTGATGCCATTATTTCTTAAAACACATTTTTTGATTTGATAAAGGCTATTGGCAATATTTGTTCATCAGGTGAAAATCCGAAAAGGGCATCTTTGAAAAGAAAAGGAAAAAGAAAAGAAAGAAAAGAAAAGCAAAAGAATGAAAAATGAAAAAAAGAAAAAAAAACAACAACAACAAACACAAAAGTGGGAGTAGCCTTAGTGAAAACCTGAAAGGGCGCTAAGGTAGAGTTTCATGAGGAAAAGTGAGGTTGGAATTAGAAAGCTGGTGATTCGATTCATTTGGGATTCCTCCTCGCATTGTGGTTCTTCTGTTGCTGACATTGAACTCAGGGCGGATGATATCTAAAGGGTCAAGCGTGACATTTTGTTTGAAGTCGGAATACTTTGGTTTTTCAAGCATAAATTGTCGGATTTATAGATTCATTTCTTTAAAATTAATTTTCTTTCAATAAAAAAATAAATGATTGTTTTCATGTTACAGAAGTTTTCATCATTTGTTGTGTGAATAGAATATTCTTTCATCAGTTTCATGGTCTTATTTATCTCTTTGGGTTCATCAGATGGCAATCCCCCTCATTTATTGAAAATCCCTGGATACCAAGGGCCTTATTAGCATTGGAAGTCAATGGAATTTGATCAGATCACAAAGCAAAGTTGAGTTTTCGAAGTATCAAGGGGAAAACATCAAAGTACTCATGTTTACACATTTCTTGAATGAGGAATTGATCAGATGGTGGTGGCATTATTTGTTTATTTCTTTTGCAGGTCTATGCTCGTTTCAAATAAGGAAACTAGGGCAAGTTTTGAACTATGAGATGTCGTCCAAGAATTGAATATTCATGGTTTGAACTGAGAAAAGGGGCTGAATCAAAGTTTTGAGGAAAAGTAATAATACCGTAAAGCAGATCGAAAAATCGGTGACACAATAATTGAATTTGGGGCTAATCATTTTTTGAAAAGATTCTCCCGAATATCAAAAATTCAAAATTCAAGAAAAAAAAAATCAAAAATCAAATCAAGTTTAAATTTTCGTTTCTTTGAAAAATTAAATTTAATGTCTTTTTTTGGCGAAATTTCAACGTCTGCCGCGCACCTTTCTATCCCCACCTGGACAATCACATTTAATTTTTGATTAAATGAACGTTGGGACCGAGTTCTATCCCGTCAACCTCGTCAGGACCGGATTTTATCCCGCTGACCAGTGAACATTGGGACCGGGTTCTATCCCGCCAATCTCGTCAGGACCGGGTTTTATCCCACTGACCGCTTATATCGTTCGGACCGGGTTTCATCCCGCCAACCTCGTCTGGACCGGGTTTCATCCCGCCAACCTCGTCTGGACCGGGTTTTATCCCACTGACCGCTTATATCGTTCGGACCGGGTTTCATCCCGCCAACCTCGTCTGGACCGGGTTTTATCCCGCTGACCAGTGAACGTTGGGACCGGGTTCTATCCCGCCAACCTCGTCAGGACCGGATTTTATCCCACTGACCAATGAATGTTGGGACCGGGTTTCATCCCGCCAATCTCGGCATGATCGGATTAACCCCACTAACCAATTCATCATATTGGGGCAAATTATTTTTGAAAAGTTTCTCAAAAATCAAAAATAGCAAAAAAAAAAAAAAAATCAAATCAAGTTAATCACAGCAGGCTCGGGTTTGATCCCACTGACCGATTGTCAAGACATTTCATTTGTACTGCCACTAGCCGTGGGTCGGTCCCACCAGTGTGCATGTCCCGATTTTAATTTCATGTTGGGGTCAGTCCCCTCGGGCCAGTCCCGATTTTATTTTCGTGTCTCGGGTCAGTCCCGATTTTAAATTTTTGTCTCGGGTCAGTCTCGTTTTAAATTTCTTGTTCGGGTCAATCCCGTTTTAAATTCCTGTTCGGATCAGTCCCGTTTTAATTTCATGTTCGGGTCAGTCCCGTTTTAAATTTCTTGATCGGGTCAGTCCCGTTTTAAATTCCTGTTCGGGTCAGTCCCGTTTTAAAATTTCTTGTTGGGGTCAGTCCCGTTTTACATTCCTGTCAGTCCCGTTTTAAATTCCTGTTCGGGTCAGCCCCGTTTTAAATTTCTTGTTCGGGTCAGTCCCGTTTTAAATTCCAGTTCGGATCAGTCCCGTTTTAAATTCCTGTTCGGGTCAGTCCCATTTTAAATTTCTATTCGGGCCAGTCCCGTTTTAAATTTCTTGTTAGGGTCAGTCCCGTTTTAAATTTCTTGTCTGGGTCAGTCCCATTTCAAAAGTTTGTCAAAGGGGTCAGTCCCGTTTTAAATTTCTTGTCTGGGTCAGTCCCATTTCAAAAGTTTGTCAAAGGGGTCAGTCCCCATTTCTAAAGCATCCATCGTTTGAGACGTTCGCAACCAAATAACGCAGGTGAATATTTGGTATCTATTTCTTTGTCTCAAGTTTTTCCAAAACTCAGACAAAGAGGGGCAAACTATAGATGTGACGACCCCACTTCACCCAAGGGCGAACCCAAGGGTATCGGCGGGCCGCCTGCCTAGCTCGCGCCAGGACTCAAAACTTAAGCAATAAAACTAGATAACTCGAAAGAGCACTATATACAATATATACACTCCCAAAAGTTATATTTACATCTTCAAAAGTCTCGAGTCTCACCACTCTAATACACTATTACCACAACCAACAGAAGATAGACCCTAAGAAGGGTTCTTATACAAACCACCAAAACAACAACAAACATTCTAACTGTTCAACTATTACAAGCCAATCTAACTATACTAGTGTACGAGCCAAAAGTCCCCGCGTCGGCCCCTGCTAAGGAAAACAAAAGGAAAGGAGTAAGCTATATGCTTAGTAAGTAAACAGGGGCGAAAGCATAAATTCACGTAGCAGCAATTACACAATAAGAGTAAAGCAAAAGCAGAAAAGAACAACATCATATAATAAGGATACAGGTGGCTCCAAAGCCAATTCATATGCCATGCGTGATCTCCTGCTGACACTCCGTCGACCACACTCAATGGTCCGTAGAACTTCACTTGTACACCCACCGACACCTTATCACCCTCACTGGCCAGTCACCTCACAAACTTGCCCGGGCGAACGAAATCACAAACTTGAGCTTGAGTCACAAGCTCGGGCCACAAACTTGGTCACCTTCTCGGTGAACCGAATTCACAAAATTGGTTCATAACATGAACCTACAAACTTGGTGACCTCAGACTAAGTTGGACTGACTTCGACTAAGCCCTAACCGGCTCGAATAGTCCAAACAGGTCTTAGATCGGGCCCACAAACTCATAAA